TCGTTGTCACTGTGCTTTCTTCATAGGAATGAACTCGCAAGCGACGTTCGAATGATGGCGGCGCGACACTGGGTGACTACAATACTACTGAAACCACACGAAGACTGGCACGTGGTGGCGCTCTACAGTCTGTGGCCATCCATCGTCCCACTGAAAATGTCCCCTTTGAACAGCCCTCGAAAAAATGGACATGACCACGCGACGACGCGAGGGCACCTCGCCGCGGCGACATCGTATCGGTGTCGCTTGGGGAAAGAAGTACCGTGGTTGGTATTCAAAGGCGCCAGGGGCTTCCCTTTGATCCCCTTCGGAAGATATTACCTTGGACTTGGAGCGTCAAATCAGTTGCAACCACGTAGTTGACAAACTATCTAGTGCGTGCGTTCAGGCCCCAAACCACGTTGGTCAGGAATTACTCGTTCAACTTGCCCTATTCTTTCGTGAGACTGGTTGGGATGGCTGTGATGGCGGGCATCGCTAACGTTCGAGACGTTGAAGATCCAACTACAGAGCAGTTCGCACGGTGGAATCCATGACAACATTGCGCAGATATGTGGACGTGGAAGAAAACAGAGTTGAACCCATGCTGGTTCAGCGAGATGTGTTGAGTGCACAGCGGTGAAAACATCATGCGATATGTGGCAGTCCACCGAGAGAATTGAGGTGCACCTTTGTTAACAGTCTCGTCAACCAGCTTGCCTCCCCCTGGCTCACCAGTGCGCCTTGCGGCTTGCCCGAGACATTCCTGCGATTGCCAGCGACCATCTGCAGCCCCTCCAGGGCACCCCTTCGCCTGTGCATGGACGACAATATTGAGGGGGCACTCAACGTATGTAGCACATCCTCGCAGTTGCTGGGACACCACTACTAGGTGGGACTGGGATCGTCCATGCAATCTGAACAGAGAACTGGATTGGTTGACAATAGGTCCATGTCAAAACGTTCACACGCATGGAACCGACGTCCCGCTCGACGCCAAGACACAGTAAGACCATAGGGTTCAGCCCGTCCATCGAGTGCATTCCTCGTTCGCAAGCGTGGTGGAGCAAGATAGTCTAACTCAAAAGCGCAGCCACAAAAAACGGGCCTCTCTTGCCAAGGTAGCACCCACCCGTTCCGATTCGACGACATAGATGGGGCAAGTGCTTATACAACTTGTGCACGCGGTCGAATCGCGTCACGATTTTGCAACTTGAAAATTGTAAGGGACGCCATTCCGACGTCGGACATTGATTTGTATGAACTCATAACGATTTGCAGAGCTACGCCCAGGAAAGCTGCCTCCACGAAGCGAAGCGGACGTCGTGTGTATAATTTCCTGTTGGCGGTGCCTTGGCGACGAGTGAATACTTGCGAGTCCAAAATGCTTGCGAGTGTTTTTCGAGGCCCCCGGCTCAACTCTACAGAACGCTGGACTTGGCAAGCCTTTAGAGGTTGTGGCTGCACCCAGCCCTCGC